AGGCTCGACAAGCAATTTGCCCCCGATTAGCACCATCTCCGACGTCCGTTTTCTCCAAGGCCTTGCAAGGGGAACGATCGAGGTCCAGCTCAGCCCGTCGGATTTTCCTTCCATGGAGGCCTTTTCGCTCGTTTCCTCCTGCTTGTGCCTTTCCCCAACCCAGCGCCCAAGCCCCACTGAATTATTGACCCATCCGTTCTTTATTGTTTAACATTGTTTAAATTAATTATTCATGTCAGTATATATGTATTTAACTACATATTGTTATGGGGAGTCTTGTATATTTGGCGTGACCTCTAGTAGAGTTTCTACATGCTCCTTCTCCCTCCTTGCTTTAACAATATATATATATATATATCTATCTATATATCTAGCTATTTTTGTGTATATGTTTGTGTATACATCTATACTTCTATATTCAAGTGTGAGCACAGGATAGCTCCTTCTCGGAAATGATTTTTTTTTCTTATGTGCTTATTAAAGGAAAAAAGTGAGAGTTAAACAGCTAATAGTACTATTAGCCGCGAAACAAACAACGAGTTTAAGGACGAAATAGAGGTATATGATAATGATCTGTGTAACTTTTGAGGAGGTCTTTGGTCGTTTTTAAAAGGAGTATTTCTTATTGAATTACCTCAGTAGATTCTGTGTTTTTTATGTTATTTTTTTTCTTAAAATAATTTAATAACCGTTTAATGTATATAACTATTAGGTATTTATCTTTCAATATTTTTTTTGTATTATATTCAATTTTATTGATGAAGTAGCTTCGCATGTGAAATATTCAAACCTACTCAAAAAAACGTATAATGATTTCAAGAAAGCGAAGAATGCTTACCCTATACTAATGATCATGGAATAAGGGGAAACATATGGGTGTGTTTCTATTGGATTTCTTTGATTTTTTTTTTGTAATACCACTGTGGAAAACGAATTTTTGCGGCCTTTTTTCTTTTTATCCTCGGTGGCTAAATAGCCAACTCCATCGATCGCGGGATTTAATTTTCGATGACTATGCATCCGTTCTTTTCCCCTCTTTTTTCCCTTTTCTTTGCCAGGTCCCGATCGCGTCACGTGTGCTTAGCGAACCCACCTTGGCTTTCCCTCTCGCGCGCGATGGTCCAAAAGCGGTTTAAGGTGCGGGGGCTGGAGGGGCGCACGAGCTACCTGAAGTTCATGCTCGACAAGCGGCGGAAGCTGCTGACCCACCTGCTCGACCTCCACAGCG